TGTAAACAGGATGTGGCTCAGGAATTTGGAGTTCTTGTTTTGCCAACTTTCATGCTGATAAAGAAAGGAAAAGAAGTTGATAAGCTTGTTGGAGCCAACAAAGAAGGACTTAGGAAAAAGATTGAGAAACACAGGGCCTGATATGGCCCCCCACCCCACCCAACCCTAGCCCAAGCTCAAACCTTGAAAATGGTTTTCCTATCTACAATTCCCTTAGGATTGATGATTGGTAATTAATTCATGTATTAGAGTTTGTTATTTGAAAATAAAGACGCATGAATATTCCTAATAATGTTCGAGAATGTAACGATTAGTTCTGTACCTCACGACATTAAGCATTCTTTCAATAGAAACTGATTTTAAGAGTGAGTTATAGTCAAGTGCTTGCAATATTAGTATAAGAGCAAAATTTCATTTCGTGAAGATCCTCGTTCTAGGAAAATAATTCCATGGAATCATTCAACTAGAAAATTTGTAAAGCTACTCAAGAGTCCGATATTTTTGGTTGAAGGCGACATTTATGGACTAATCAGCCGTTTAGTACATTCGCTTTACAAACCAATATTAAAAGCGAATTTGTAACATAAACTTCATCATCTTATAACAATGGATTGTCCAAAAGTAGAAAAATTTATGAATTCAACATTGGGAAAAATCTAAAGTACTGAATATTGAACGTATCGATAAATCATGGCACAAATGAGCCACATCATTTAACAATTAAATTTAAATCGTAATTTTTGTTTATCTATGTTGAAGAGTGACCCAAATTCCATCTTTTATTGATGGATTGATTGAAAGAAGAAGTCAAAATATGAATAAAGGTCAATTTGTCCACGCGTCCCTATTCGAGAAAAGGAATGGATTTAATTCAGAGACGGAGCTCCTAAGTGCTAGACAAAGTGCTGCTCGACGCTCGACTGGCACGAGCTTGAGCACTCGAGTGTCACGCACCGCTCGCGCATTGGTACCACCCGACCCACGGCCTATTTCCCGATTTTAGGAATTTTGAAATGCTGTCTAAAACATTATAATTAGGGTTTAACTTGTAATCTATATATAGTTGGTTCTTTATTGTAATTTAAAATAAGTTACACATACAAAATCTTGTATTCTTTTATCTTATATTGAATTATCTTCCTTTGTGGTGTTTTTCCACGTAAAACTTGATGTTGTTGATCGTTATCTTCATCTTGTCATATTACTCTCGTTTATTGAATTTAATAAGCGATATCAAACCAAATTGGTATCGCCTTGTTTCGTGACAATTTGGAAAAGTAATCTTTGTCCCTTTTTTCAACCGGATTAAAATATTTCTAAGATATTTTTCACGGGAGATTTTTATAATTAGCCTGATCTAACCTTTTCATAAAAAGTCTATATTACTCTTAATGAAATGGATTCTTATATTTGCATAATATATCCTTTTCTTTTTAGGATAGTTTAAAATTTTAGTTTGACCTTATATTTCTTCTATTTTGAACTTCAATATATAAATCCATTCTATGGTCTAACAAATTAGAATAATATGTAACATATTTTTCATATTCTTTTTCAAGTCTATTATATTCTTCAGATAATATACTCATATTTTCTAGTTGAGAAGTAATATCTTTTATTTTTTCTAACAATCTTTCTAAAAGATTATCTAAACTTTCAATAGTACATCCTGGCATTATATATCTAAAAAAATATTTTATGATCAAGTATAAACAGATATTTAAACATCATAATCACATATTCAGACATCATGAATAATCATCATCATAAATAATCCCTAAGATTCTCTAGGATCTTAAAAGAAATCTTTCTAATTTTTAGCAAAAAATAATAATTTTACCTTAGCTTTGATCTGGATCTTTATTCTTAGAACCGAGTGATCTTCATGTTCTGAATATGCAAACTGTTCCCTTCAATGGCCTCTTGCCTCAACGGGGTCTTTGCTTATTCATCTTCTTACCTTCACTGTATCGTTTCTAAAGATTAAATATCTAGACTTTGGTTAAAGAAAAACTATTTTTATTGCTAAAAATAAGAAAGAGATCTTTTTCTAAGATCTTTCAAGAATCTATGAGAATAAGATTTAGAAACTAATTTTTTCAAAGAATTGGAATGTGAATGATCTATTTCAGACTGGAAAATTTTTATACAAGATTGGTATAAAGGACAGATGAATTTGGCTCTCTCAAGTTGAGTGCTCCTTTTCTTCTCTACCTTTTCTTTAGTCCGAAAGCCTCTATTTATACAATCATATGAAGCTCAATAATTAAGCTTCTTATATCATTGCTTACATCACAATTCTATTATGAGGCACAATTATATGACCTCTTACATTAAAGATTTATTTTTCATCAAACGCACTCTCACCTTTCTATTATTGTCCTTCTAATCCTACATCTTTGCATGCAGTTTGGAGAGTCTTGCAGCTAGCAAGATTCTTTTATAGTGGTAGGATATTCTGAAAATTGATATATATCAAATTTTGTGATGTATTCTTTCAATATTTCTGACTTTCCATATCCTCCATTTATCACGATCATCCAATTTTCATATTGGCATAAACATGATAATTTTTTATCATACAAATTTTTAGCAATATTATATATGGCCTTGATTTCAAGTGCTCTTCAATGCTTTATCCATGACTTTGTCACCTTTGGCGTTTTCTTATCATTCTCCATAACATCTATTTGGAAGTTGGTTGCTACATATCCAATTGATATTATGTGTTCAACTGGATAATTCTATCCTATTCAGGACTTATTGAGTAGAATTTTAAATATATCCTTCGTCCTTTGGAGAATTTTGACACTTCTTTTATGAACATCTCATCAAATTTTGATATTTCTATCAAATTTTTTCTTGGATATATCAAATCCAAGAATCCATAATCTGCAATTATTTTTATGAATGAAGGATCACCTCCTTCCATAGTTGTAACTCTAGGGTAAACATTATTTCCTGGAGAGATAAAGTATGAGTCACTAATTTTATTTCATAGACTATTTGGATTATTTTGGCATATTTTTCTTCTTTTGGATCCAAAGGGGTCATATCATCTTGGTCTATGATACTGATTGTTTTGGAATCACTACTATTTCGATCTGCACGTATCATCACTTTTTATTTGATGTTACTGGAAATGCATCTCCTTTTTTATCGGTTGGTA